AGTTAGTGATTCAAATAAATATATAATGATGAATTTTGTTGATGTCATAAATTAAAATGGATGAAAAAAATTACTAGTATACTATAAAAGGTATTATTTCATGTAAGTTTTTCTTGTTGAATTAATAAATATTTGATGTAATAAAAATCTAATGATATTTTTAAAATTAAAATAACATTTTTTACTTTGAATCTCACGTTATATGAAATTCGTTTTATATATTTCTTAAAGTTTTATCTTCTTGAATGAATAAGAATTCTTTTATTAAGTGATGACTAAGACAATACTAATATGAGTTTTTTGGACATTTTATGGCTATGATGAGCGACAATGATATTATCATTGTGATTTATTGGTTATTTTGGATATTTTTCCCTAATTAGATTGAAGTATTTGGACGTTTATCCACAAGATTGGTCAAGTCATCAATTATCTTGGTTCTTACCTCCAAGATAATTGTTTATTTCAAGAACAATGTATTATTTTCTTCAAGTCATCATTTCTATTTTCATTTTCATTTAATTTAATAAGTGTTTTATTTCAAATTTTTATTATTCTTATTTCAATTTGAATTTTCCAATGTTTAAACATCAATATTTGATGAATGTGTTTGACAAAGGTCCTTCCATTCATAAGAATGCATTTGTAATTCCCAATGTCTCCCTCCTAAGTGATGTCCACGTTGACCCAACTTCATCCATTTGGTATGGATGTGTTCTCAACACTACTGCACATAAGGGATACAAAGACAGTTCAAAAAGGGAATAATGACGATTTTAAAACTGTCGTTATTACAACTGTCATTAAGAGTTACAAAATTGATAACGATTTTGATTTGTCATTATATATTACTAATACAATGACGATTATATTTACAATTATGGTTGTATGTCAAAGACCCTATGTAACCTCATTGTTGCTTTCTAGTACAACATCAATGCTGACAAAAGTTTCAATAGTCACACGAAGCATATCTCTAGGAGAACAATCTTTCACTCGTCCTTCAAATATAACTCATCCAAAGGAAACTTCCCTTGTGTAATTGGAATCATTTTTTCTATAGGAGAGAAATTTGAAAATCTCATGATAAAAAAATATAATTTGTGAATGAGAGAAAAAGGGAAAGGATGATGAGGAGAAGTATATTCTTATTGTCATTTTCTCTTGTGATGAGGTTAAACATATTAGAGACATCCATGATTAAGAGAGACATTTCATAAATAAGAGAAAAAGAGAGAGGAGGAGGAGGAGAAAAGCCGGATCTCAATAAAAAGAAGAAGAAAAGAAGAAATGTAATGAAGGAAGAGAGGAAAAAGGACGAGGAGAAATGAAAGTTGGAAGTGTGGAATCAAAATAACTTAATTATAATGAAACAAATGATAAATATTATAAAAGAACCGTCAACATGTATTACATACAATAGTAATTTTTTTATAACCATCATTAAAAGGTTGAGATGATTAATTTTATAAATGTTATCATATGTAAAATACAATTATCATTATATATGAACCATAATTAAAAAAATTAAAATTAATATTAAAATTGTCATCACATATATTTTAAAAGTAGTTTCTAATTAACCGTCTTTAAAAAAAATCATCTTTAATCTATTTCATACTAATGCAAAAGTAAACCTTATATCATTATAGTTATTTCTTATTTTTATTATTATAGTTGATTAAGATTTGTTTATTTCATTTGAGATTAGCTTTTAGGTTTAAAAAATAATGTCTATTTTATATTTATTTGATATATTTACCCAAATATAACCTTATTTTAAGTTATTTTTTATTTTTCTTCGATAATATGTATAATAATTAATATAAATTTTAAATATCTTGTATCATTTAATATAAATTTATGATAATTAGTTATTTCCACTTAAATTTATTATGATATCAAAATTTAAGTAAACATAACAAAAGAAAACCTCTAGTAATTAAAATATTAATTTATATTTAAAATTTGAGTGTCTTCGTTATTTAAGAACTTTAATCTACATAATTGTGTGACTTAGAATACGTAGTAACTACTAACTACGATGCATGTCATGTAAATATTTATAATCTTAAATGAAACCAAGTCATGCATTAAAATATTATAGCGTTACATAAAATAATATTGCATTCTTCATGGGGCAATTTTGCATTGGATAATTGACTGTGTGGTGGAACTAAAATATCTTCACCTTTCCACAAAGAAGCACTTCAAAGGTCGTTTTCAAGAATCAACCATTGCCATTAACATTCACAAATCTTGTTTGCACTATAAAATTATTTGTTTGAGTTGTTCTCCAGATTTTCTTTACTTTATTCTATAATAATAGTACTACTAGGAGTCTTTTTAACTATATATATATAATGTTTCTTATTTCATTTACATAAAATATTTATGCAGGAAAATGGAAGAATTTAATGCCAAGAAGTTTAAGAAATTATGATTCCAATTTTTTTTTTTTTTTATGATTCTACTGTTGTCTATAATATATTCTCAAAATCAAATCATTATCAAAAGATTCTTTACATAACAATTTTTAGGAGATCCAAGTCAAAGAAAAAACGACGAATATATCTATAAAATAATTAGTAAAACAATAAATATTATTAATAAAAATATTTTACAATGTAATTATTGATTTTTTTTCCCTTTAGAAGTATGGTTTCATCGTAATAAAAGAAGTAATAATGTCACTACGTTCATGGATCACCTAACATAAAATTATTTTAATCTACGTCACTTGCACCATCTCCTTCTCCTCACCAACAAAATGTTCCTCAAAATTTAATCTTTTTGAAATTGATTTATGTTTCAACTTAACCCATTTAAACCAATGCTTTAGGTCTAATTTTTGTTATGATTATACATAAAATATAACTAACTAATCAGTTTATTAAAATATTATAAATTTTGATATCATAATATACTATAGTAAAAATAAAATAAAAATATCAATTAAAAATATAAATAAAGTTGTTAGTAAAAATATTCAATTAAAACATTAGTTAAGTGAATGGTTAAGCATGGTTTTTAAATTTATTTTGTTAAATTAATACGTAATTGTGAATTTTATCCTTAAATTTTAGTTCCTCGAATATCTAAGCCTTCATTTTATAATCTAACATACTAGCATTTTAGCCTTCAAATGTAAGATATTAATTTTAAAATTTAGAAAATTATTTATGAAAAAAATTATAAATAATTTTATAGTGATAAAAATGAACATTGTAATATAACTATTAATAAAAATTAAAAATATAAATTAATAACACACTATAGTAAATAAATAAACAATATTCATCATTTATGATATCTATCTATAATTTATTATAAATACTAGAATGTGAATCTTATTATTATATCTAAATGTCTATTTTCTTTTCAACGGAAATATAATGTACGAGTTACATTCCCTAGTATTTTTCTTGTTAATTACTTATATAAAGATTAAAAAAAAAAACTATTTGTAGACATAAATTAGCTATGATAAGCACAGTTATAGTCAACCAATTATTCATCCTATGAGATGGTGAAATGAAGGATTAGGTGAAAAAAGATTAGGAGAAGAAAGGCTAACCTTATTGGACGGTGACAGAAAAGACATACAAGAGCCAGCCATGCTGTGATCAACTAACCAATTAAAACAAACAAATAAACACCTTCAAAATTAGGGTATCAGCCGGATTTAGACACTAAATTAAACCAAATATAAAATTTTAATACGATTTAGTTTTATTTTTAAAAAATATGAATTTATAGTGTTCAAATCATTCCTCTCGTCAACTATATATATATATATATATATATATATATATATGCGAGGGATAACTATCGAACATATCTCTTTTAGAGATATAATGAAGCTTTACCCGAAATTCATGCATATTATCCTAAAAACTCACGTAGGATAATAATCGACACAAGAGGACTCCGACGGAAAGAAAGATATAGATAAAAAAGACTTAAGATTAGGAGAAGAACAAATACTGATACAATTGATTGAAGATTCCTATATCAAGCAGCAACAAAATTATATTAATATTTTATAGTCGAATTTTTTTTTAATGATTTTTTCATTGTTAATATGTTAAACATATTATAATAAAATAATTATTTAATAAAAAGATATTATAAAAATATCATAAATAAATAATTATAATTATATAGTTTTAATTTTTTATATTTTAAATTTAATTTTAAAAAATAATTAATGTCTTAAATTATACAAAATTAATTGATTTACATCATTCTTAAATATTTTTATTGTTGATTTTATTTCTTTAAAAAAATAATAAATAAATGAATTTTTTTTATTTTACTTATTTTTATATATTTATAAAAAAAACTTAAATTTATTATGTCATATAAAATCTCTTTCATAATTTTTTTAAACAATTAGTGTTTTACATATACAACTCATTAAAAATAGTTAGAAAGAATCACATAAATATTTTTTTACAAGGAGTATAAATATCGAAAATCTATATATCAGAAGGATATTAATTGAGTTCAAAAAAAGAAAAAAATATATATATATATATATAATCAAACATATTAATATATTTTATATTTTATTATTTTGATCCTGGTCTTTTAAAAAATTCATTTTAATCTTTAACATTTTTAAATTGAGTCAAATTAATATTTTTTATTTTTTTTTGCCACCGAAATAACGTTTGTTGATGGCAAGCTCTGACATGTGAGAAAATAAATAGCGTTGTGGTGATAGTCCAATTAAAATTACATCAACAAATGAACCAACGCGCTTGAATTTGTAAAACTTGTTCAGGTGTCCACAAAATAAAATATATAAAAAATCTTCAAAATATTTTATGGTGTAAAATATGGGAGCGATAATTTGAAAAATGTGGTGTGACAGTGACTAAAACTTGAAGTGAGAAGGGTGTCGTAATCAAACCGTCCACTTGGCGAGTATCTCCCGTTTCTAATTACGGAAACAGAGCAGTCCTTTTCCCCATCTCCATTGGCACGCGTGGTTTATGCACTCCCCCACTCTCACCCAACACTTTAACGCTACGTGCCCCCGCCACGTCTCTCTCTCGCACGTGTCTCATCGCTCGTGTCGTCTCTCCCCCACTATTTCTATAAACCTAACCTCCTTCCTTCACCTCCGCTGCCTGTCTTCTCCCTGCTTCTCCATCCTCTTTCACATTCACTCTCCCTTTCCAAACCCTAAACACACCAAAATGGAATCCAAGGGAGGTTGTTGCATCACCAAGTGTCAAACGCATGCTGCACACCACATCTCCAAGGTCCATACAATAATGTTGCGCTTCCGTCCCATCGCCCCCAAACCCCTCTCCGCCGCCGCTCTTTCCGACGCTTCTTCCTCCGAGAGCGCCGCCGATGCCTTCTCCAGATCCGCCGGACCTAAACGAAAGCGCGCAAAAGGCAACACTAACACCAACACCAAGCGCTGCACTCGGAGGAGAAACGCCCCTCCTCCTCCACATCCGCCTCCTACGCCACCGCCAACGACGCTACCTCTGCTGCCGGAGACCCCGGTTCCGAAGAAAACCATCTCCGGAGAAGGTCAGAAGAACGCGCCGGTGTGGCTCAGCTTCGGGGACCACGGTGGTGCTGCTGCTTCGGTGGATCCTTACTGGTTTCCGCCGCCTGCGGTGGCGGGAACCGTGGTGATGATGGAGTGCGTGACGGACACGTGGCGGGAGGACGATGAGCGGTTGGGGAGTGGAGACGAAGAGCGGAAGGTTAAACTGGAAGCGGACACGTGTCCAGGGTTTATATCGGACGGTTACGGGAGGGTGACGTGGACGAATGGTGCGTACAGGGAAGTGGTGGGAGAGGGAGGAGTATGGCTGGCCATGAAAGTGAGCGTAGCGTATCCGTGCCGAGGGTTCACGTGCTGGGTGAGGGTGCAGTACGCGTGTGGGACAGAGAGAACGGTACCATGTGATGTTTGGAGAATGGACTCCGGTGGCTTTGCCTGGAGGTTAGACGTTCAAGCCGCTCTTACCTTGACCCTAGCCTTGTAATATAGTACTACTAACTCTATTAAGCTTCTACGCTAAAAAAAAAAAACATCGAAACGATAGCGTTTTGTTCCGTGGCAGCTCCACCTATTTAAGACTACAATAACTGTGAATACATCATCCTAGGGCTCTTGATCGTAAGGTGTAAATTAACGCACGTGTTTTTTGTGAGATCGGAACGTTACCTGGTCGTGAAAAGTTTGAGTTATAATTTCTCTGCTCGAATCTGTATATGAATGAAATATGAAAATATGGTTATGATGTTTGTGTAAAGTTTCTAAACTCCACTGTTTTGTGGCTTGTTATGAATGGGATCTTATATTTTCCAGTTCTAGCTTTGATGCTTCTTCCTTCTGTCTGGCCTTGATCGGATAAAGTAAACTAATAAGGATGATGGTGAGGTGAATGTATTAATACGTTTTTTAAAAAATTGATTGGATTGGATTTGCGTCGTTCTTAAAATTGAATTAAATTAAATTAATTTGAAGAGGGTGTGGATCTGGTGTAAATAAAGAGGATGTGATAGATAGGGGGGGGGGACAAATGGAGGAGAAGGGTTGGGAGGAGAAACAGTAACAGTGTCGGTTAGTGTTTTTGGTTGGGTGGGGTCACGGTCATGGGTGGTGAAAAGATTTAAAGAAAGATATGGCTTTATTTACTTGACATTCCAATATGCCATTATAAGCTCCTCGGAAGTTGCTCATTGCACCACGTCGCTGCATCTCACTAGACCATGCATACTTTTCCATCTTTTTCCTGATCAGTGTTCCCTTTTTCTCCTTTGTTTTTGCTCCTAATGAAACCATCACCAATTTTTCCCCACTCCAACGACCCATAAGAGTAACCTCTTCTAACTGTTCCACTCACTGCTGCTAATTTCGTTTTCGCCCTCTAGACCGATACTTATCTTCAAACTACGTACACTACCCGTCACGCATAGAATGGGACACTCACTATTTCTACTAGAATTTTCCAAAAGACTGGTTTTCTTTTGCCTCCTAGTTTACTTATCTCTATTCGAAAACGAATATTGCAAAGCAATGTTTTTTATTGAAATTAACAAGGCTTTGATTCGTGATTCAGAGGTTTTAGTATAAATGAGTTGTAGAAATCAATATTATTTAATTAAATGTATATTATACCAGAAACCATACCTAAAATATTAGGTAGACATGCAGAAAACACTTTGACAACAATAGTAAGGGATGAGGGACAGGGAAATTTATTTAGAATATTTTTATTGATCTTTACTTTCTTTAGAAAAAATGATAAACAGCATCTGTTAGTTCTCTCTCTCATCGTCTGATAAGCAACCATTTGATATAAGAGGCTATTATCTCTGTACTATATAGTATTATATAAATTCTTCAGGTTTAAAAAAATAGAAAAATACAATTGTAACCTTTTTTTTTTAACTTTTCTGATATCTAATTATTATTGAACTATTTTAATCTTTAATCATTTTAAGCATCATTCAAAAAAATCCGCATGTTTATTTCAATTTTTTTTAAATAAGAGGCTATTTTTAATATTGTCATAAAATTAGTTTTTCTTTTTAAAAATGTCATTTATGAACAAAAAATAACTTCCATTTTTTAAATTTCTAAACAAATTCCTAGACTATTAAATATTATAATTTTCCAAAATAATAATTAAAAAAACTCCACAAGTATATTTCAAAATTTCAAAACAAAATCCTATTTTTGATTTTTTTTCATAGAGTTAGTTTCTTTTTTATTAAAAGAAATATGTTATGATTGTAAAAGAATATAAATTAATTTATATTTTAATTTCTAAATATAATACCTAAACTTTTTAATATTAGAATTTTCAAACGTATTCATTTTATAAGTTCATTTCTGATTTTCAATTTTTTGTCTTAAAATTAGCCTCTCTTTTTTAAAATATGTTATAATTGTAAAGGAACAAGACAATAATTCGGTTAAGTTTTCTTAAAATATTTATTATCACTAAAAATAAGGATATCACTTTATCTTTCTTATAAATGCCCTGCCTACGTCTATTCATGCTTGGTCTTCTGAGAGTTAGGATGGCTCGAGGGGATCAAAAGACGGATTCTCGGTCCCCTAAAATTATCATCAATATTATATCTTTATTTTATATTTATTGTATAATTAATTAATTAATTAAATTAAAACTATATATAAGCTTTAGAATAAATATTTCAAGAAAATATATCGGTTATACTTTGAATTGTTGATTTTAATTTACTAATTATAAAATAAAGACTTTGATAAAGAATTTGGTTTACACACAGTAAACTTGTTTCAAAATTTGATAAGTTGTTAGTATTTATCATTAGAAATATATATATATATATATATATATATATATATATATATAATTTCAAGTAATTATTAAAAGAATTGGATCATATAACTTTTAGAGTATTATATTTTTTTCAAAAACTTTTTTTTGTATTTCGTAGATTTTTTTTAAGTATGTTGTAACTTATCTCTCAATAAAAATTATAACCAAACTTATATATTTATGTTATTAAAAAAAATTTCATAAATAAAATATGGGTTAATCATACAAGAAAATATGATATCATTTTTAACTTTCTCATTTTGACTTAATATATGTAAACATGGATGAGTGACTAAAAAAACATATATATTTGGCTCCATACATTGAAAGGTTAGTATTTTAATTTATATTTTTATAACTAATTTTTATGTCATATAATGTAGATCCCATTGGTAGTTAATTGTAATCATACCCCGGAATTACACTATGGTGTGATTTTGTTCATTACATCTGAAACCGAGTCAAGAAATAAAAAGCTTATTACAAGGGTAATTTTATCTTTTATTCATTAATTATGTTTTTAAATTGTAAATACATATTGAATAATATATGACTTTTTCACTTAGAATCGTGTTTGGAACTAATGTTCTAAGTGGAAAACCCAGAACAAAGACTTTGCAGTTCATTTATCCTAAGGTTAGAAACTTATTTATATAAGTGAATACCATAATTATTGTTTGTATTTAAATTTTGAAAATAACATTATGTTTTATTCATCATTTCGAATGTAATAAGCAAACAGACTCATTTGAATGTGATTACTATGTTATGTATTGGATGAGAGTCATAGTTTGTGCGGGTATAATTGATTCTTGGACTGGAGGTAATTGCTTTTAACATTAGTCAAGTTTATTTAACTTTATGCATGTTGCATGTTTACAAGAGTCAAATTAATGTTTCGAGATATTTCAAGATCCATCTCCATTGTCGGAATATGATATTACACAAATTAGAGAACAAGGGGCAAGGTTTTTCGTTCAACAATTCTAGTACTTAATTTTTTAGGTTATTGTTCATATTATATTGTGTGTATTATGTAGTTTAGGTAGCTTAGTTTGTACTAACTTTTAGTTTGTAATAGATTTTAGTTTGTAGGTTATTGTTTTATTATGTAGTTTGAATTATATATAATATTATATTTTTAATTTACTAGCTAAAGAAACTTGAACCTCTGGATTGTTTGGTTATAATATATATTTGCAGGTTTTAGTTGTAAGACAAAATAAACCCAATTTAAAAAAAAGGAGCAAATTTACGTCGCATATTAGTATACGTGACGTAAATTTACGTCACGTATACCAATATGCGACGTAAATTTGCTTTTTTTTTTTTTAATTTTGAAACTTTTTACGTCTGTTTAGTAGTATATGCAACGTAAATTAACGTCGAGTCTCGATAATTGACGTAAATTTATATCGGGCTAAGGGGTCCGACGTAAATTTATGTCTCCCGTTTTAACGTCAGTCTTAAATATGACGTAAAAAGCCCAAAATACCTGACGTAAAAGCCCCTTTTTGCACTAGTGGTTAGATATTTGTAAAGGGCTAAACACCAACAAATGAGACACGAATCAACTATATTAATATGATACTACCTACAACTCAAAACCTTAAAAGACATTAGATTAAGTTACTTAACTTTTTTATTTCTACTCAATGTGATTCTCATTCATATTGGTACACTTACCCCTCGAGTAAAAACATTCTTAACCATAAGTATCTTCATAGTGACCTTATTTATATTATCGTTCAACTTAACAATACTCTCTTACTTAAAACCTCTATTAAAAAGCTTTTTGACACAAAGATCCGAATTTGAAATTTTTCACTTATTCCAATTGTACTCTAGTGAGTTTATCACCAACAAATCATTATTGACTATTTGCAACGGGACTAGAAGTTGAGAGATTCTCAATAAATAGACACAAGTTAACCATATAATATATATATATATATATATATATATATATATATATATATATATATATATATATATATATATAACAACACTTTCAAAGCACCTTCAAAGCGTAACAATAAAAAATAAATATAATAAAAATAAAAGTAGAGTTGCACCAATATTTATCAAGAAAAACTATTAAAAATTTGTGATTTACACAATCAAATTTTGATTGAGGTCGAGAGTTGATCCCACTAAAAATAATGTGTTAACATCCTATAAAGTCCATTCTAAATATGATTTACTCATAATTAGTTAAACATATAATTTATATTTTAAAATAGTTATCTCACTTAATTTAAAGTTAGTTTAAATAATAATTATTAATATACTCATTATATAGTTATTTTATATTACTGTGAAAATAATTATTAAAAAATATTAATATTAATTTTTTTAGTTCAACCGTAATAATTTCTATATTTTTAAACTATTATAGTTCATATATCTTAAAATTAGAATTGACAAAAATGTATGTCTAGGTCAACTTATTACAATTTTTTTTATTGTTATCATTGTAACAAATTATTAATTTAGAGAAGATACTTTTAGCTTTAGTTTGAATGGAAGATTCTCACTGAGTTGAAATAAGTAGATTTAAAAGGGAAAAATAAAATAAAATAAAAGGGGAGTTATTTGGATTAAAAAAATAGTGAAAAATAAAAAAGAAATTTTATGAAAGTTTGTTAATGATATAATTAATTTAATAGATT